TATATATATATATTATGTTATTATGACCATTAATGACATTAAAGTTGGAAACACTCCTAATGGAGTATCACCCGGTCACGAGGACATCCTGCGATAACGATATGTAGATGATCGCACGGACGTCACACGAGCACGGGTTCGGTGTAATTTTATACATCAGTATAGTGTATAATATAGGCACATCAGACTACAGTCAGCTAACGGCGTAGCCAAGATTAAATCTAAGAGGGGGAGCGGCAATCAGTTTTGAGCTTTTTACATTTTGATGTTGTTAATGGTGCAATTTGGTGCATGTTGTTGGCATGTTTTATCGACTTGAAACAGTCCTACTGGTTTAAATAAGGTAGCAGTATTTTGATGTGGATATTTTAACAAAACAAGGATATCATTTAAATAAATTTCTAGAATTGATTTTTATAATGAATATCATGAACACCGTCTGCTAAGCAATCAAATAGAAATAGCATGAAGATGAGGTTTGCAATCACTTGCAAATTACATTTTATACAAAAAGGCATGTAACATTACAAAGATACGTGCTGGTAACGTGTGATGACACTCGGGAAGGGGGGGGGACACATTTTATCCATCCGAGCTCCATGTACATAGGGCCTACAGGCAAGAGGAAAAATACAGCTCTCTCAAGCCTACCGACCGGTCCCGCGTTCATCCTAACGCATTGTGTGCATAGGGGACAAAGTACAGAATACCCCAAACCACACATGCAATACTTTCATCCAGAATTGAATTAATTATTAACTATATACGCATGTGTGAAAATCTTCTTTATTCGAACACCTCACTTACATAAGGGAGACCGGCCGAACTGAACTGATCAACTGAATCGCAGTATTACAATTGAATTCGTCTTAATTTCAGTAAGGCGAATTTTTTTTTTTTTAAATCTTATTTTAAATTTTTTTTGCCTTCTAAATCTTAGTAGGGCGACCGCCCCTATCGCCCCCCCCCCCTGGCTACGCCACTGCAGTTAGCTCATTTTTTGCTGCATGGCAACGGTCACATGATACCACAGCTCTAATGCGGCATATGAACCATTTATAAGCTTCTGGGCATATGTATGTGTGTTTTATTTAGACGGCTACATTTCTGTACAAAGTGCGAATTAAACGTTTCGCCGTAAAAATATCTCTAACCTTGCCACACTTGATTCACTGCTTCACTGATTCACTGCTTGATATAACTTGCACGTACAAAAAAACTGGAACCAAGGAAATACGAAAACTAGAGACGCAAGTGACGTGTAGCTCTAGACTGCAAGGTAACCGCACACAAGTCGTTTGGTTAGATTACAAGCAACGAAAGGTAAGTGTCGTGTCAGAATACACGTTTTTCTAAGAAAAACTACACGAGCTGTTAGGAATAACCAAATTTAAACAATTTCTGTCCATGTAAAGATAAAATACATCGAAAACGATGGTATTACGATCAGTATATTATATACCTTAACTCTTACGTAATAGTCGGGTCCCTTAGAATCATGATCGTTACAGAGCTGACAAAAACATCAAACTTGGCACAGTTGTAGTTTATGGCAGTACTATAAATATTAGAGGGGGGCTCAATGTAGATATTCTTTAGAAGTGAATTATAGATGATTAAATGTTCGAACCGCGCCCGCCTATACTGACGCATTGTGTACAGCTGGTAACCCCTCCCCCCGCGCGCATTTATCGGCTTACATTTCTAGAAATCTACCCACATATAGACACATGTCTTAGCTATATTCTCTCTGAATATTGAGTTTATTGACGCACGATTACTCAATATATTAGCAAATATATGCGCGCGGTATCGCTCATATAGGCTAATATACGCACGGCTATAGACGGCAGGCAAGTGTATTAACTTTCATATCTCGCGAAGGAATTGAGTTACATTTCTAGAAAACTATAGATACATGTATTAGCTATAATCTCTGTGAATATTGGGTTTATTGACGCACGATTAGTCAATATATTAGCAAATATATGCGCGCGGTATCGCTCATATACGCACGGCTATAGACGGCAAGCAAGTGTATTAACTCTCATATCTCGCGAAGAAATTGAGTTACATTTCTAGAAATCTAGATACCTATAGACACATGTCTTAGCTATAATCTCTGTGATTATGGAGTTTATTGACGAACGATTAGTCAATATATTAGCAAATATATGCGCGCGGTATCGCTCATATAAACTAATATACGCACGGCTATAGACGGCCGGCAAGTGTATTAACTGTCATATCTCGCAAAAGAATTGAGTTACATTTCTAGAAACCTATAGATAGTATACTGTAACAGAGCGGCGCGTAGAGTTTGTAATTAGTAAAGTATTGAATAAGAATCATACGTGATTTTTGTGTGCGTAGCCGTCAGGCTAGCAAGGCACGCCGTAAATGTGTGAATAACATGTATAAATGTCCACACCTACAGATAAACGCGCCAAACCGGATATTAATCAGCTGGGGAACGGATGCGCCAAACCGGATATTAATCAGCTGGGGAACGGATGCGCCGATCCAGATAACTTCAAGGCTGCGCTGTTTACAAATGTTTACGAGCAAGAAATTCTAGAGTTTTGCAGTTACGTGGCGGCCTCTCGTGGATAAATTAAAGTGATTACGTCACCGTAAATAATTAAAACAAAAAAAATCGACTTTTTCACAAAATATAAGTAATTCTGTTGACTTTTTATGGTTAAATGGCTGCATTATACTTTTTATTTTACTATATTGTTTGATGTGAACAGACACTCGTGACTCATACATAGCCCATAGCAAGCAATTAATGTTAGGAACACTAATATCAAATCGTCCAGGTTTTTTGGATTTTTAACTAGTTGAGAAACAATCTTATCAGGTAAGAATTTGACGATACGTTTAGTCCCGTTAATTCTTACTTTTAATGTAAAAAAATGGCAATAAAATTTTTACAAATTTTACAATAGAAAATTCGTGACGTAGTCAATTTAAATGGTAAATGTAAGAGTTTTAAGATGACGTCACTTCGCTGGGCCATATAAATAGCAGAGCGCGCCTTGGGAGTTACAAGTTGGCCGCACAGTTACAATTCATGTATTAGACTACATTTCCAGACTCTTGCTCACGCGTAGCGTGAGCAATTAACAATAAACCTTTGTGCGTAAAACTTATTTCGTACTTACTGTGATCTTCATCGTCACTCGTCTTACGTCGCAATAATAGCAAAGAGAAGCTGCATGACATCTCCTTCAAGCTCACCGCAAACCCGAAACGAAACAACGGGTTAAAACAACACACAACGCAAAACTTAATATCGGACAACAATACGATCACGAAATATCTACACGAACTAAAACTTAATTCGACGAGGTTTCAATACATGTCTTAGCTATAATCTCTGTGAATATTAAGTTTATTGACGCACGATTAGTCAATATATTAGCAAATATATGCGCGCGGTATCGCTCATATACGTACGGCTATAGACGGCAGGCAAGTGTATTAACTCTCATATCTCGCAAAGAAATTGAGCTACATTTCTAGAAATCTAGATACTTATAGAGACATGTCTTAGCTAAAAAAAATTGTCAATATTGAGTTCATTAACGCACGATTAGTCAATATATTAGCAAATAAAATTATGCGCGCGGAAGTAATTTACAGATGATTATATGTTCGAACCACCCGACTCCGAACCCTCCCTCCCCTACCGCGCGCGCCTGTACTGTGTGTACTGGCGCATTGTACCATATAAATAATAGAATAGTAATAAAATAATAGAAATAGATAGACAAGTTGTCTATCTATTTCTATGCATTGTACAGCTGGTACATGTATTGGCATTGTATACAGGCGGGCGCGGTAGGGGGGTTCGGAGTCGGGTGGTTCGAACATTAAATCATCTGTAATTCCCTTCTAAGGAATATCTGCATTGGGCACCCCTTCTAATAATGATAGTATATACTGCCATAAGCTACAACTGTGCAAAGTTTGATGCTTTTGTTACTCCTGTAACGATTCGGCCCATATTTTGCACTAAGAAACCTGACTATAAGAGGCACAGACAACGGCGTAATCACATGATCATTGCACATAATAACAAACTTATATGCCTTAAACAAGTTTAAGCATGTATTATTTTGAGCAATACACGTATAAAACATTATATATTATACGTTGAATATCTAGTATGGCACCATTACGAGTGGCTGTGATTGGAGCCGGGCCGTCAGGGTTGATTGCTGCCCGCATGCTTGCCTCACGACCGCAAGATTTCGACTTCGAGGTTTACGAACGTGGAGATAACATCGGTGAGTATGAATAAAATTAAGGCAATGTTTAGCCTAGTTGCGTTTACTACAGAATAAGCAAGATGTGGCGGCATACTTCTAACTGCGCTACGTAACGTAGAGCGTGACGTATGCAAACGAAATGCATATATGCCATAATTATGGTATACGTATTCCATATCAGCAGATATCGAATTGGAGATATGTGGGTGGGTATCCTATTCCTTGCCCATTTTTTATAAAGAAGATAGGAAGTTCATTTGACATTTTTTCCCCATCATCCACGCGGCACATCAGGATGCTTACACGCAGGTTGATCATTAGTACAGTGGTTTTAATTGCGTCTGCCTTAATTAGGAGGTACGTGGGTGTACACGGAGAGGACAGGGCTGACTGAAGATGGCTTCCCAGTACACTCAAGTATGTACAAGAACCTTATCACCAACGTACCTACGGATGTGATGGAATTCCCTGACTTTCCCTTCCCTTCGGATTTGAAAAAATTTATACATTGGAAAGAGGTGTGTATTGTTGCGTTCTAGTTAAAAATAATAGCGGACTTGACAACAATAACAATGTAATTTATATAGAACCTGATTCAATGTAAACGTTATCTACAGATTTATATTAAAACCTATATTTCGTGATACTTTGCGTAGGTTCAAGACTACATTTTTGCCTACGCCGACCACTTCAACCTTCGAAAAGATATCCAACTAAATACAGATGTAACGTCTGTAAAACGCATCACCTCAAACCCTCTTCGACCAGGAGATGCCCACCAATCTCCCAACAGACCGCAGTGGTTGGTGCGCACGACTGCCCTTCAGGGAGGAGGCAGCAAGGAGAAGGTGTTTGATGCTGTATTAGTCTGCTGTGGACACTATAGTGTCCCTCACTATCCAGACATTCCTGGTCAGGAGAGCTTCAGCGGGGTACAGCTGCACAGCCACGATTACCGCCATCCAGAACCTTATGCCGGTGCGCTGCCTAAATTAGTATAGCTCATAGGGTCTATGTCTCCCTGGGTACTGCCGGAACGTACCCTGGTAACTATCTGATATGGTTAGGGTTAGGGATAGGGTTAGGGTTAGGGAGTAGGCGTAGGCGACTCCCTAGACTCGTTAGTGGAGTAGGCGAGGTACGGTCCAGCATATTAGAAGTTACCAGGGTACGTTCCGGCAGTACCCAGAGAGACATAGACCCGACGAGCATTAGTATAGATACCGGTTATTTTGTTATACGTACTGGATACACCTAATATATAGTTAAGCATACAAGATTATACGGGAATATTAAGCTGAAACAAAACCTACTTCGTATCTTGCTGTAGTTACATTATATCAGAATGTCACGCCGCACCGTCTACCGTTAAAGTTTTATAAGACATCTATTTCTACAGGCAAGCGAGTACTCCTGATGGGAGCACTTACGTCTGCATTTCATATCATGAAAGATCTCTACCCTCACGCATCCGAGGTGATCATATCACTCAGCGAACTAGACGGTCTAGGCCTAGGTAAACAGTACAAGAACGGGCTGCTACCACACAACGTGAGAACAACGACATTCGCGCAAGCGATCAACGGTAGCATGGTGACGTTCACCGACGGTGAGAAATTCGAACCAGACGTGATTATTTTCTGCACCGGCTACGAGTATTCGTTCCCATTCCTCGACGCCTCGTGCGATGTCACTGTCACCAATGGCTGCCGCATACAACCGTTATTTAAGCACATGATCCACAGCAGGTACCACACGCTCACGTTTATCGGCATGCCGTTTGCAGGCTTCGAATTCTCACTCGCGTACCTCCAGGTTCCGATTGCGCTTATGATCCTTGATGGGTCACTGGCGCTCCCTAGCGAGCAAGATATGAACCAGGACACAGAAGCTGACTACCGCGATCGGTTAGCTAGCGGACAGAAACCCCGCCACGCCCACAGGTACGTATTCCCTCCCCGTTGGTGGTATACGGTGTACTGCGATGAGATTGCCACTTTTGCAAAGATTGATAACGTCATGCATCCAAAGTACCGCTCACTTGAAGCTGCCATCGCTGCAAGGTGCAAAAATGTGATGACATAAAGGGACTACAGCGACTCTGACTCCCATTTAGAGTGTCACCACAGTCCGTGAGGCATAACCTTCAGAGTGTGCGCAACTCTAGCTGCACGTGAAACATTAGATTAGGGAATGTTTGCATATAGATAGTAGATCGATATCCAAAGATCGAGCTAGGCTTCTCTGGGCCAGGCACTCATCACTGAGTGTGACTAGCATACGGCAATGGGCTGTTGAGAGCTATTGTAGTTGCCCAACCGGAGATGTATTTCGCTTCCTCAAAGTGGCTTAACAATGATATTGCCTGACTCAATGTTTTGCCACAGAGACCCAGGATACATCTACGTTCATTGACATTACAAGTCACTTAAAGTGTATTCGATACGATAGCCTATAATTTAGAGCAGTTGTACTAATATACACACATGTAAAATTGTTTAGAATTAATATAAATATAACAGGTAGTTGATATCAGCCATAAATTAAATCATAACCGCATTAAATGGCACATCGCGAGACGTGATACTGAGTATTAATATTATAACTATTCTATTAAATAGATTATTGAATAAAACACAAATGAAGCTTTCTGCCACTGTAATCTTATCTACAACTCAGAGGATATTTTTTATATAAATCGCACGCTTCTGTTATGGATGTTTTGTCATTTGCGGGCTTGTTATTGAACATTCCTATCTTTATAGAACCAAAATACACTTTAACTAGTACTATCAGAAATCGATTGTTATTCTCCTCTATCCTTCGCATGTATCACAATACAATAATTATACAAGAGTGCTTGACGAATACTATATATTTTTCTGCTGTAGTTCCTCCCTTTTTATGTAGCAGTAGATATGGGTGCTGATAAAGTAACCCTGATCTCATACCTAACAATACACACGTCTTTAGCTTGTACTGTCGCTAGCCGATCACAGCCGGTGAACGAGAGAATGATAGATTTTGAAAGAATTATGTCGGTTTTTGGTAGTTTTGTGAATCGTACAGGGACCGCGTGAAGTCGTAAGCACTTCAGCAAACATCACCGTGTTGCTATGCGCATGCGGGTCTAATGCTTAGCCCTTCATTTAGTTGTTTGCAAACGTTGTTATCGGATATAGACAATAACTTGAATTCTTCCTCACCAATAAGACATTATAATTATATACAAACGTTTAATTACAAATTAATTAATAATTAATACAAATTCAGTTTTTTGTAGAATTTTCTTGACAGTAAGATCTGTTATGTTCTTGTCAGCAAGAACCTAATGACTTTAATGCCCCAATATTGCACTTATAAAGAAATGTCTGTAAAACGTCTGGCACGTCGCGCACAGCTATTCATGCTTAAAAAAGTGTCATTAAATATATTCGGGTAGCTTGTCATACCAGCAAAGACTTCAAAGGCTGAATCTTACTATACTCTACTATACTTTACTATACTTACTATACTTACTATACTTTACTATAATTACTATACTACTATACTTACTATACTTTACTATACTTTACTATACTTTACTATACTATACTCTAGAGACTCGTAGAGAGAGAGCTGATCCTATCGAAACCTACAAGATTATATGACAGGCTTGGAGAACATTTATCATAGGACATTTTTTTTACCCTCAGTCTTGTCCACCACCAGAGATCACAGCATGAAACGTACAAAGAGCACAGTCGTCTTGAACTACGTAAAAATATTTTCTCTCAGAGAGTGATTGACAGCTGGAACAGCCTTCCCCAACATGCTATGCGGCAAAGGACGTGCTCTCATTTGAAATCGAATTAGGCCGTTATTGGACAGTTCAGGGTTTTATATAAGCGCAAGCTGCCTAACTCTTTGATAGCCATGCAAACCCTTGATGTGTGGCTGTACAGAGGTAAATACACTGACATACATCGTCACCGGACGTGTGTAGCAATAACCACACCATATACATGGTAACATGCTAGGTCAATGTTCTTACTGGGTGGACCATGAACGTTTTCTGAGCAAACGGTAAAGGTCAACTTTACGAATAGATAACATTTAGGATGCTGCAACTATTTTTAGACGGCTATACATTCTCTGGCATAGCGATCAAAGTCATATATATTGCTGCAGAAGTAATTCGAACGTTGACACACTTGTTCCCTTTGTAAATAACTTGCTTATAAATAGAAGGTGGCGCCACATAGGGAAAAGCGAAATCAGTAGACACAAGTGGTATACCTGTGCTGTAACGTGAACACATATAGAAGTCGTTCTCTGCAAGAATACAGTACAACAAATACAAGAACAAAAATAAACAAACAAAAACAACAAAAACAAAAACAAAAACAAAAAAAATAAACGAACAAAAAAACAAAAATAACAAAAACAAGTACAATAATACAACACAAGGTATGTAGAAATTTGTTGTTGTTTTTACAAAAGGTAGGCCCCCTACATACAAGATAAAAAAGTAGATATGAAAAAGATTATTGTTCATGTAAAGATCGAATACAATGGGAATCCAACATATCGCTGTTATGTTCAAGCAATACCTTTAACTATACAATGCTGAATTTAACATCCAATTTTTTTTTTAAATCTTGTAGTAACTGTTTTGTAGCCGTTAATACAGGCGTAGTGACCATGCTATCAGTTTGTAATTAATCACAACTGAGATAATACACGAAACTTGATTTGAATTTTATGGCAATTTCACGTTTCTTGTGCCTAAAACGAGACACATAAACTTCGACTAGTAATAGACTCTCTACATATTAAAGATAACTGCTTCCTCGTACACCCTTCTACAGAATGTAAAATAAATAGTATAAAATCTCATTTAAATTCAATTGTTCTCTATATAATCATCTAGTATGGCACCATCACGAGTGGCTGTGATTGGAGCTGGGCCGTCAGGGTTGATTGCTGCCCGCATGCTGGCTTCACGACCGCAAGATTTCGACTTCAAAGTCTATGAACGAGGAAACAACATCGGTGAGTGAAAGTCATGTGTATCGTGTTTGCATTTTTCTTGAAATACTTTCAGCACATTGAAGTAGGCAGAGTGAAAATCGTGACTGACGTCCTAAGATATTATGTAATTTTTAGCAGGATAGCGGAATGTCTAAGTACAAACGTACATATGGGGCCCGTTGCCAGAAACAAAATTAGTCTCAACATTAGCATTAACTTTACGATATTTTTGACAACGGCCGCCAGGATGATAATATGCAATTCCAGCAAGCAACTCCAGCTTCGGATGTCGTCATTAAACAAATAGCAAGAATGTGTGTTTCAAGCAAGAGTAATTCTAACGTACTAGAGTCTAGAATACGTGTTGCCTCTTCCCATCTGTACAAAACATGATACCACAAAGGTGACATGCAAGTACATTGTTAACTCAATGGCATTTTTCTTGCCTCGATAAGGGGGTATGTGGCTGTACACAGACAAGACAGAGCTGGATGAAGATGGCTACCCAATACCCTCAAGCCTTTATAAGAACCTTATCACAAACCTGCCTACGCAGGCGATGGAATACCCTGATTTTCCCTTCCCCTCTAATCTAAAAGGAAAATTCCTTCATTGGGAAAAGGTACGTGTTAGTAACCCAGGAACCATAACTGATGTATTTATTACATTTGAAAAGGTTTATACGAAATGGGAACGTGAGCTACCACAATACATAGTTGCCACTTGAACAGTACAGAAAAGGGCTGCTACCACACAACGTGAGAACAACGGGATTCCCGCAGGCGATCAACGGTAGCGTGGTGACGTACACGACCGGTAGACGTTCCAACAGACGTGATTATTTTCTGCACCGGCTACAAGTATTCGTTCCCATTCCTCGACGCCTGTGTGATGTCACCGTTTAGCGAGGTAAAAACAGCACAACCATTATTCAAGCACATGATCCACAGCAGGTACCACACGCTCATGTTTATCGCCATGGTTTATTTGCCTCTTGAGTTCGGACTCGCGTACCTCCAAGTTCCGATAGCTCAGAAAATTCTTGATGGGTCACTGGCGCTCCCTAGCGAGCAAGAAATGAACAAGGAGACAGAAGCTGACTACCTCGATCGGTTAGCTAGCGGACAAAAACCTCACCATTATGCACACAGGTACATGCACAATACATGCACACAGGTTCGTATTTACTCCCCGTTGGGCTCCGAGTTCATACTGCGATGACATTGCTAATTTTGCAGACATCGAGAACATTATGGAATCAAAATATCGATTCATTAACGCTGCCTTTGATGGAATGCGTGAAAATATTATGAAGTATAGGGAGTATGACTACCTCGACCCTGAACCGGAGCAGTAATGTCAACTACATGAGTACGCAAAGTTTTGTATACAATGCGTAACCTTGTTATATATGCGGCTGTACTATACGCATTAAGAGTACATAATAGCGATGTTATTATGTACTCTTGATACGCATATAGAGCAGAATAGAGGAAATAAATGTGCATAAAAGCAGGAATCTATCAATATTGATAGACTCCTGATAAAATATACGTTTACAATATAAGTCGTTGGAAAATAAGTATTATATAATAGTATCCGAAACACAAATGTTTCTTTATTAAATCCTGATAATATATATACATCATAACCATAACCAGAACTGTATTCTGCTTTAATAATGTATTTCACTTCAAAGCTATTTAAATAACTCTGTGTTTTTAAAGCCTTCACAGTGGGTCGCGGCGTAGTGGCGGTTGCTGGCGTGCTGGGCATTGGAGCACTCTGCTACTATGGCCTGGGCATGTCTAACGAAGTCGGGGCATTGGACCGGGCAGTGTGAGTGTCTTTCTTAGACCTGGCTTTCTTTTTGAGGCCTGAAATTGTCAAGAGTAAGATGAGATCATTATGTAATATTATCTTGGATATATTCTATAATAGGCTTCTGATATTTTCAAGAGTTGACAGCGATAAATATGGACTTTTATTGTCACATGCACAGATGAGAATCTCCCGTGGATCCGCGGTTTCCCGCGTTTTTCACTTTAGAAAATTATCAATTTTTCAAATTGTTGAAATCCATTGAGAAAACTGGGGGGTGTACTGCCACCTTCGGACAGTAGAAAAATGTCCCACGGCTAGTGATGCTCTTTTACCGTCTGAGCTCGCCACCCCGCGGCCGACAAATGTGCTATTCATTCGCGCACGGCACGGCAATACGCGCGCAATGGCGGCGTTCATGAACAAGCTAGTTTTCGAAATTATTGTGCCTCAGAACGCATCTGCAGCATTTTTTTTTAAATTCTGTGGGAGGACCCCCAGACCCCCCGAAAGTGCTTAGCACCTGCGGTGTGCAATATAGCGCTTTGCGCTATTCAACCAATAAGTAAAAAAATATCCCGCGGATTTTGTCCGGGTCTCTGCTCATGTTGTTTCAGCGAATGTTGAGCATTACCAAACAATTACGATCACGCCAATTTTCAATGGCTTTCCATTCGTAGGATGTGGCCATAGTTCGTCAAGGACCGTATCAGAGACACGTACATGTATTTTGGCGGTGGGCTCGTAATAACGGCTTCATCTGCCTTAGCTGTAGCAAGGACACCCGCCCTTATGAATATCATGATGAAGAACTCATGGCTGGTAAGTCTAAGAGTCATACCCTTTGTATGTGGGGGGGGGGGGCAGGGTGAAAGGCAGACAACTGACCACCTGGATTTAGAAGAAAATAACATAAAAACCTAATAAATGCAAATAATCAAAAAAATAGGTGTAAATCGTCATGTAACCACATGTGAAAACCTTCATCTCACACTGACTTATGCCGTATTGACTAGGAGTTGCGCCCTTCTCTCGCCATTGCTTGTCTGACTTTAATGATCTTTTGACCTCCCAGGAATTCACTTAGTTTAACTATGGCTGTGACAGCAGTGCAGTGCTGGATATGTAATCTGTTTAGATTTCCAGGTTTACTGCTATACTATACTTTGCTATTTACTATATATAGCTTTTTTTATGTCATTATCTCGTAAATAATTCGAATACTAAAAGTCTGTCATTCAAAGTCTAGTCATTGTTGCTTTTAAATAAAATACAATTAATAATAGAAACATGAAAATGTTTGCAAATTAAGGCTATATTAAGTTCGTTGTGCATGTATTCTGGGCTATTAACATGAGACTGAGACTTAGTACACAGATGCATATAAGGCATTTGGCTAATCGATCCGTTTGCACATATATACTGCATCTCTTTGGAATGCATACACGTTACATGCCTTTGTCTAGTGCTGCCAGGACAAAAGACGACTCCAAATCATTAAATAGCATTAATTAATAGTGGACTCAATCTGTATCACTGCAGTTAGCTGACACCCGTTTATGACCGTTTATGTTTAGGTTATGTTTATGGTTTTTTTTACCATGGGGTAAAAATATTTACAAAATACTAGGTAACCATTTTGCTATTGAAAAAATACCTGTTCGTGACTATTTGTGAGTGTGTAAATTAATTGAAATATTCATGTAGTACTTGCCTTATGTAAATTTTCATATGATTTGCGTACATGTGCTTATATGTAGCTTACATTTTCAGGCAATAGGTGCGACATTTGCTGCAATGATTGGCACTGGAATGGTTGCGAGATCGATTCCCTACCAGAAGGGCTTCGGTACCAAGCAGTTTGCGTGCCGGCATCATGGGAGCCGTCGTCGCACCTCTGACGTTACTCGGTTGTCCCCTGCTCATCCGAGCTGCATGGTATACAGCTGGCATCATAAGAGGTGAGCTTTAAAATGAGTGAGGCGTGTATGTAGCCGAGGACTGCACCGTGTCTACGGGACGCATGTCCACTGTTTTACCATTATGGAACTTATCTACTAGCTTATCACCCAATGCCATTAAGCTATACATTTTACGATTAACAAAATGGAGCTTTTGTTACCTATATCGTCCTTAACATGTTTGGAACTTGACCCAGCAACTCACTGCACATTTAAAAAATTGCCTACAGTGACTCTGTGAATTGCATCAAGATGCTAAGTGACATCTACTGGTGAAACGCCATACACACTTGACTGATCAGAAGCAGGAATTAAGCTATTGGCTGGTGTTATTTTCCGATTGTACTTGCTAAGATAGTTAACAAGATGATCCTGAAAATAATACAAACTAAGATGGATAGTCATCTCAGGCCAAACCAAAATGGATTTAGACCTGGACGTTCGACAACAACACACATTCTTGCTCTTAGGAGACTAATAGAAGGAGTTAAAAGTTACAATATGAAGGCTATTATCATCTATGTAGACTTCAATAAGGCCTTTGACTCCATACATAGAAGGATGATAATGAAAATACTTGAAGCATATGATATACCACCAAGATTGCTGAGGGCAATCAGCAAGCTTTACGAAAACACCAAAGCAAGAGTGATTACACTTGATGGCGAAACAGAGTATTTCGAAATTAAAGCAGGAGTATTGCAAGGAGACACCCTAGCACCATACCTCTTTGCTATTGTCCTTGACTATGTAATGCGTAAAACCTATGATGGTAGAGAAGAGGAGCTTGGATTTCGACTACATAGACAAAGAAGTAAGCGGGATCTAGAAATTACTGTCACTGACCTTGATTTCGAGGATGACCTTGCACTACTAACAGAAGAGATGGAACAAGCACAGGAAGTATTGAGAAGATTAGAACAAGAAGCTAAGGGTTGGACTGCACTGTAATGCGAAGAAAACTGAGCTACAAGTATTTAATCATGAAACTCCGGTGATAGTGAAAGTAAGGGAAGGTAAAACATTGGATAGTAGAAAACTTCAAGTACCGGTACCTAGGTGCGTGGTCACAAAGCACTGAAAAAACTGTGAGGAAAGCTCTTGCATGGAGTGCATGTCATAAATTGAGAAAGCTATGGAGCTCGAAACTGGCAAGAAAATTGAAGGTTAGATTGTTTTTAGCAACAGTGGAATCAGTTTTGCTATATGGGGCAGAAACATGGACACTAACCAAAACTCTGAAGAAACAGTTAGATGGATGTTATACCCGTATGCTCAGGATGGCACTCAATGTATCTTGGAAATGTCATATGACGAATGCTGATCTCTACAAAGAACTACCAAAAGTAACATCAAAGATACAGCGGAGAAGGATGCGTCTAGCCGGACACTGCATCAGACACAGAGATAAAATTGAGAATAAGCTGGTCCTTTGGCAACCAACTGAAAGCAAAACCAATAGAGGCAGGAGAAGAATCACCTATGTAGATAACTTGATGGAAGACACTGGAATGCAAGTGATACAGAAGTTGAAGACCATTATGGAAGATCGAGACGAATGGAGAAAGCGTGTTGAAGCTATGGGGCGTCCTGAAGGACGACCTAGTTGAGTTGAGTTGTACTTGAAATCTTTCTGTCTAGAAGGTACCATTTGATGTATACAGTGGGTGCACTTTGCAGCCGGCGTACAGCGAATTTAGCCGTATATAATATCGCTTGTACGCCATGTATCTGTCCTGCAGCCTGTTAAAATTTGGTCCTCTGTACCTATGTATGTATAAGACTTATGTATAATACTTATGTATAAGACGTCTTGCTATGCACAAATGAATTTATCAGCAGACCACCAGACACCAGATGAGCCCTGTCGCACTGCGGCACTTGTTATATACTGTTATTATATACTGTTATTACATACAGCTCAGTGCTCCCACCAATTGTTCGCAAAGGTTGCACTATTATATGTCTGTAAACGGGCCACCGCCTTCTCTATTTTTGTGGTAATATCTGGCATTGGAATGTGTGATTTATAGCTACTTTTACGCTGATTTATATCCTACTAGCGTGCATTATACACGTAAGATAGCTGCTCTATACACGCCTAGTATAAAGTATGAAAAGTGAAATTTGTTTGGGGAAAATTTCCGCAATTCTGCCAAGTTTGTGCTCGGGGTTATACGGTTAGGTTTGAACAACAGGATCCGGAAAATTGCTGAAAATGTGTACCATGTCGCTGGAAAACGTTTAGAGTGAAGTTTGAACATTGAATATTTTTTATTATTTAGCATGAATAAAGACTACATTGCTTATGCATTGATTTCTAAGTATTTTAATTACCGTTGGTGTTATGCTGATTTGAGCCCGTTGTATGTACACTCCACGCTGTGTGATGATCATCACACTTCGTGGAGTGTAGTTGTATGCGGACGCCATCTTATAATGAGAAATAATTGCCCAATGGCGACTATATACTAAGCTAAAAATCTCGACAAAATAGACACTTTGAAAATTTTTAATGAAACCCATTGAAATTTTATTGCAAGGCACAATATACATATATTGTTAACTGAGATATACGACTATATTTCTTGCAATATATTTACGAAAAATCAGCCAATTCTCGGTGTGCTCTTACAGTGAAAAGAAGTGATTTGGCATGTGAATTTTTAATCCGGCCACGAACGCAAATAGAAAGAGCCAACAATCAGCCGTATAAAACGTGAAGTCTAGTTTTCGATAATAACTATAATTCCCATGAATGCAGCCTGTCTTGTTTGAGAGATTAAAAGCAATTGTCTCAGTCTGTGCACTTACGTCGTCTCACTCTGTGCACGTACGTCGAACGTTGAATTATTGCACTGCATTCAGCGATTTAGATTTTGATCGTCCTAGGGACAATAGGCGCGTTCACACTGGCGCGAATTAGCGAGATGCAAATCCCGGTTTTTGCATCGCGATCGAAATACCGAGATTATTACAAGTGTGAACGCGTATCATGGTAGATTGCACGTGCGTGCTACACCACCCCCTACACACACGCGCGCGCGCACACACACACACACACACACACACACACACACACACACACACACACACACACACACACACACACACACACACACACACACACACAC